TCGGATCACCAGGGAAGGAGCTGGAGTGGGAAGAAGAACCCGCACGCCTAAGTCTAAATCATGAAAGCAGACAAGGGAGGAAGGAGCAGGTAGGGAGTGTCTGGGACCAGAGGTCTGAGCATGTCAGCAGGGATGACGAAGGTCCTGGGGCCTGGGGACATTAGAGAAGTCTGCCTCCCCCAGGTAAGGCCTGGCTCAGAAACCTCTGAGCTCATGCTTGCCTGGAGCTGCCCAGGGGCAGTGGGTCTGTCAGTCACCTGGTGTCCTCCCTGCAGGGTCTCCTGGGGTGGGGGTCACCGAAGTCTGCACCTCCAGGGCCACCGCCATCGCCATTTGCTGTGTGCCATCCCCAGGACAGGGGCCGTGCCCTCCTCCCTCTGCATCCTCTTCCATCTGGACCGCAATTAAGTCACAGCTAAGGTGTCTGAGGACATTAGAGCCTGAGTCTCCTGCAGGTCCTTGCAGGCACAGAGACAACTACCTCTGCCCCCAGCTGCATGCTGGGAGGGAATACTTTTTGGGAGATTCGCACCTCTTAACATTCGGCATTTCTTGGAGCATAAAACAGTCTTCAAACTCTCTGTCCCCTTTGGACCATCTCCAGCATGTTTGTTTCCCCGGTTCCTTCTGCTCCAGTGACTGGGCCCTGTCCTTGACCCCATTATATTCCCACTGCCTGACACATGTGGACATTCCATGTAAATCTGTTTATGGAGTGAAGGAATAGGACGCGTGGGTGGCTCAGTTGGTTCAGCATCTGACTCTTGATTTTGGCTCAGGTCCTGATCCCAGGGTTGTGGGATTGAGCCCCATGTTGGGTTTTCATTGAGCATGGAGCCTGCTTAAGATTCTCTCCTCCCTCAGCCCCTCTCCCCCACTCCCATGTGCTCTCTGTCTCTAAAATAAAACACATTAAAAAATGAATAAGTGAGTGAATGAAGGAATGAATGGATGGATGGATGGATGATGCAGACTAAGTCCTCAAGCAGGGAGTTAATATAATGCCCGCATCCTTCCTACAGGGAAGGAAAGGTGTCCCTCATCCCTGGTTGTCTGTGATGTTTCCACACCTCGTCACATGTCACACCATGGACGTCATATGACAAGTGACAACAGACCCATCACCTGCCCTCCACCTGCTCTCTCACCTGATGTCACCTGTGTCAATCAAGGCACGCCTGTCTCTGTGGGCATCACCCTCCCTTCACCTGACACTCTGGACCATTCCTCCTTCCCCCGAAGCCTGGGGCCCAATAGGTCCACTCCCTGTGTCCCACCTGGGGACAAGTACCATTTCTCCCTTCCTTGTTTCCTTTGCTGTCATCCTCCTCCAGCTGACCCCCAATGTCCCCTTGTAGGCCTCCCTGTGTCAAATTCTGTCCTAAACTTGGAGCTAAATCTCTCATGAGCAGTACTGACCAGAGGCGCAGCCATGATTAAAAATCTCCCAGCACATGGAGAGGAAGTCACAGGATGGCTTCGCAGTGGTCCCGCTGGACTCGCTGCCCTGCACTGTCCCCACACCTGTTGCAGCCTCCGCAGAGTTTACTGTGTCCTATCTGCCTGGCTCTGGAAGGGCCCAGATTTTCACAATCTGTGTGTCCTCCTCTGTGAAGGTTTGTGACCGCTCAGCAAGTTCCTGTTCACACTCATCACCCAGACTCAGCCTGCCTCATCTGAGCCCCCTGCGGGGGCAGATCCCCTCTGCTCTCTGTTCCCTTTGTCTTGTCATCAGCTGCACAGGGAATCGTAGGCTGTCCGGTCAGGACTGTGCCTGTCCCTCCCGCTACAGCCCCACACAAGGAAGAACCCCGATCAGGGCAAGTGCGCCAGGACTGCACCTCCATCCTCCCTGGAGGGTTTTTCTCACGTGGTGGAAACAGGCATGGGGGAAGCAGGTGAAGGAGAGCTTTGGAATCAATGGGAAAAAATGAGTCGTTAGCCCAGAGAGCAGCAGGGGGTGCTGTGAGACCAGGTCTGGGGGTCTCTTTGCATGAGCAGCCCCTCCTCCGTGAGGCCTGTGGACAGGGGATAAGAGAGACCCGGGGCAGCCCAGCCCCAGCAATGTGGTCTAAGGAGGGGCTGTGTCACCATGGTCTGGACCCCTGTCTTCCTTGTGTTCCTTTGTCACTGCACAGGTAGGGACAGGACCCAGTCCCCCAAGGTGGGCGGGCCTCCAGCCTGAGTCAAATCCCTCTGGTCCAGGTCCCTAAGCAACAGCTGCTTGTCTGTTCTCTTCATTCTGATGCATCTGTGTTTGCAGGTTCCTTGTCCCAGCCTGTGGTGACCCAGCCACCGTTCCTGTCTGCATTTCCTGAAACACCTGCCAGACTCACCCGCTCTCACCCTGACCAGTGGCTTCAGTGTTGGCAGCTACCACATATACTGGTATCAGCAGAAAGTGGGGAGCCCTCCCTCCCTATCTGCGTAGGTTCTACTCACATTTAAATAAGCACCAGGGCTCTGGGGTCCCCAGCAGCTTCTCTGGATCCAAAGATGCCTTGGCCAATGCAGGGCTTTTGCCCATCTCTGGGCTCCAGGTTGAGGACGAGGCTGACTCTTACTGTGTAATAGAAGGTAGCAGTGGGAGCAGCTATGCTTACGCACAGTGTCTCAGATAATGAGGAAAATTGGACAAAATCCAATTGGTCTACAGACCTTGTGTCTGAGCCTCATTTCATTGATAAACTTACCTGGAGACCTACAGTGGGGACCCTTCTATGGAAAGATCTCTCCTTGAACAAAAGAAGGACAAACACACATGCTATGCCTGTAAAGTGACACAGCCCAGGACGTCCTAGGAAGACGCTGATGGATGAGGACGTATCAGAACACAACCGCACATCCCCATGGGGTCTGGAGAAGATGAACAGGAATGAAAACTGTGTCTCAAATGAACCTGATGCCCAGCAAACATTCACCAGTGTCATCACTCCCCCAGACATTCCGGTAACCCCTCAGCCAGGACGGACCTCTTTTGGAAAATCTGTTCCAATGGAGGGCCGCAGGGCCTGTGACCTCAGGGACACAGCGTCCCTTATCTCCACCTCACCTAGATTCACATGTGGGATCTTTGACAGAAACTTCTGGGTCAAGTTGGCCTTGGGGAATAGAAATTCATTCCTCTAGTCATGGGTGGATGAATGGACGATTTATGCTGAACATACTGGACACAAAGAAGAGAATCCAGACCTGTGCACACCTCAGAGATGAGTCTGACCCCTCCTCAGTCCATCTTGGAAGTTGTGTTTAGTCATTCCATCACGGAGGCGGCTCTGTAGTTCAGACAAACAGGCTCCTCGTGGTGTTCCCCTGGACACCATGTTGGGCCCTCCTCCTACTTGCAGGACAAGACCAACTATATAAAATGCATGTTGATGATGATGATGATGATGATGGTGATGGTGATGATGACGATACATCAAATAATTTAGAAACACCCTTATACAACCAAGAACTAGATGACACTTACTTTCCATCATTTTGCCATCTATTTTTTCAACTACTATTTCAGTCCATATTGTCTCAGCAATAAGCACGAATCTGTGAAAATACACTGGTGATTGTACCTACATCTTCACAATGACAATGTCAGTCGATTTAAATCATTCTTATGGGGCTGAATTCTGTGTAAAATCACCCACATTCATTTTGAGGTAGCAGTTGTCCAAGTGGTGACAGACACATAAAGTCTGCGACGAGGTCCCCGTCAGAACACCCGCAGCTGTCACTCCTTCCCTCCTGGAGCTTCCTGCAGGTTTGTCCTTCGTGCTCTGAGGTCAGGGCCACACTCGGGCTCCTGCAGTCTTGGGTCTGTGTGCTGGGGGGACAGATCGTAGGAGGGAAGCACTAAGCACAGTGTGTGGAGAACTGTTGTTTCACGGAGGTGGAAATAGTGACAGGTGACGAAGATGGTCAGTGTGTAACTCCCCTAGGAAGGCACACGAGGGCGTCTACCCACAACCTGGAGAAAAGGGCTCCCTGTCTCCTCAGTGCTGAGGGAGCTTCTGGGAAAGAGAACTCTGAGCCCAGAGAGGAACCAGGGAAGAGGGAAGAAATCAGCCTCCTGCACAGAACTGGCCATGCGTCAATGTGGACCCGTCGCTGCTCTGGCCCTGATCCTCATCTCTGTGGTTGTGCCAGAGTCACCACCTCAGTCCTGCCCCATCAACAGCCAAGGGAACCGTGGACGGACTCACTACGTGGAGCCTGAGTAGAGCAAAGTGCACCCTGAGGTGATGGGAGGTCACATAGGGGACATCCGGCCTGGCCAGAAGGAAGGGGACAGTGGGCAAAGCAGTGAGGAGGCAGGAACCCTCTCTGATGGGCTCTGGTCGCCATGTCATATTTGCTGTGTCCAGGCCTGGACATCAGGAGGCGCATGTCACCTTTTTCTGAGGAGTCAGGGATGATCAGAGCTGGGAGTTGCCACCTGACGCTGCCTGTGCCCTCTGCCTGCCCAACCCCCTAGCCTATCAGAGCCCCTCCCCAACCACCACCCTAACATCCTTACACAGAGGGACCTGACCCAAGGCGGTGAAGTGTCTATGAGCTGGGGATCTCATTTGCATAGATGGGCCCTCCCTCTGTCAGAGGATGAAAAGGGGAAGGAGCAGATTAAGGGAGGCTCTGTTCAGCTGTGGGGCCACAGAAGGCTGGATCGGTGATGATCTCCACCATGGCCTGGTCCCCTCTCCTCCTCACCCTCCTTGCTCACTGCACAGGTGACTAGATGTGGGGACAGGGGAAGCATTCCTGGGAGGACACTTGTGCCTTAATTTCTCCTCTTGTCTCCAGACCCCAGCTTCACCCTCTCTTTGTCTCTCCTCCTTCCAGGGTCCTGGGCCCAGTCTATGCTGACTCAGCCGCCATCCGTGTCTGGGGCCCTGGGCCAGACGGTCACCATCTCTTGCAGTGGAAGCACCAACAGCATCGGTATTTATGGTGTGAACTGGTACCAACAGCTCCTAGGAGAGGCCCCTAAAGTCCTCATCTATGGCAATAGCAATCGACCCTCGGGGATCCCAGATCGATTTTCTGGCTCCAAGTCTGGCAGCACAGGCTCCTTGACCATCACTGGGCTCCAGGCTGAGGACGAGGCAGATTATTACTGCCAGACCATTCACTTAACTGTCAGTGATTACACAATGTTCCAGGCTCATGGGGAAGTGAGACAAAAACCTGCTGTCCCCACAGAAATGGGACTTCCTGTGTAGCCCTGACATTTTGGCCCCATCAGCTGTTTGTTTGATATCAACTGAGGTTTGTCACCTGCCTCAAAGAATTTGTCTACAAATCTTTCCACATTCTCTTAAATTTCTCCTTGAAGCCTGTCCTGGAGAGCAACATATTTTCTAATTTTCTCAAACTGAGCACAAATTCCTGGGCGCCAGAAACAGGCCACCCTGAGGACAGTGACAATGTCACGTTAGGGCAGAAACAGGGTCACAAAATCCAGAGTATCTATGGCTGATTCGTACATGTGGGTCTTTTGAAATGAGTCCCTGTCCATTCCCATCAGTGCTGAGATCCAACCAGTGATTTTTGTTATTCACTTGCGTTGTTAATACTTACTTGCAGAAGGATGTTGAATGATAATGGTGTTTAGGTCACATTAGCCTGTTCACCTTGCAGAAATGTCCTCCCCTCCACCACCCCATTATTTAATTCCCTGGTTGTGGGAGTGAGTTCTATATGTGTAGGAGGGAATGTGCTATCACAATATAAATGCTTCTATCTGTTTCCATTTTATGTGGTTTTTATTAGGACTTTGCTTTCAGTTTTTCAAAGAATCTTTCAAGGTCTACTGAGATCATGGGATTTTCATCTGTTTATTTACTAATATGATGCCTTATCTTGGAAGATTTATTAATATGGAATCCCACTCTATATTTGCAATAAATCACATATAGTCACTTTATATGACTATTTTAGTCTGATAATGGATTCTCACTATTGATATCTTATTTAGAATATTTGCATCAATATTTCATAATATTCTACAATTTTCCTTTTTCTGTACTTTAAAAAAATTTTTAATTTTACTTTATGACAGAGGGAGAGACAGAGCGTGAGCACGAGAGGGGCAAAGATACAGGGAGATAGAGTCTGAAGCAGGCTCCAGGCTCTGACCTGTCAGGTTAGAGCGGGATGTGGGGCTCAAACTCAAGATCCAAGCCTTGAGATCATGACCTCAGCCAAAGTCAGACACTCAACAAAGTGAGCCACCCAGGCACCCCCCTTTTTCTGTATTTTATATATCAAGTGTGTGTATTTCTTTCTATAAGAATATATACATTTTGTGAAGTTAACCACGTCTTATGCCTTTTTATGGAATAGTTCATAATAATATTGTCTTTTTTTCTAAGGAAACTGGTCTGTTTATTCATTTTTTTAATGGAACCATTTTTACTTCTTCTTAAATTATGTTTTTAATTTATTATTAAAAGAGGTTGACAGTATGATTTTTCCACTTTTTATTTTTGTGCACATGCAATTTCCCATTTGCATATTTGTGTATTATTCACTTCCATGCAAAAGTTAGTAAGTGGGTTGTTCTGCATTTAAAAACTTGATTTTGAAGTACTAATTAGATTCAAATACACGTTATGATTCTGTGGACACCAGGGGGCGCTGTGGCCTGACAAGAGAGCAGAGACTGATGCCCACCTCTCTTACACATGGGAAGAGCCTGAGCCTGCTTCAATAGGACTGGGAGCAACGACCCTTCCCCAAGTATGATTCTCCTGCACTGTGACCCCTCTAATCCCATGGGAAAACCAGGTGCTGATCTTCCTTCAGCCCATAGGAAACCCAGATCATCTCTTCCTTTCCCTTGACTAGCACCATCATCAGCCCAGAGTGATGCAGGGGCCAGACATGCCCCATATCTGAATGAATGACTCCATTCCCAAGAATGAAGGCAAAGAAGGAGAGAAATCCTGTCCTCAGTCCCCATGGTGGCCCTCAGGAGGCTGTACTGTCATATTTCCTGTATGGCTCCATGTTAATTTGCAAAATACAATGCATATGAGAACACTACTTGCTACCCAAGTGCAGCTCAGAGAGAAGTTCCTGCCCTCACTTGCAGAACGTGGTTTCCCCACCCCCCCAGCCCCACCCCATGCAGGATTCCAGAACTGCCATCTGCTCCTACTCTGGAATCCAGAGCAGCAGGAGCTGCAAAGTCAGCACAATTATGGTCCCTGCCCAGGTGACCAAATGTCAGGGAGGGCAGGTGAGGGCGGGACTCTTCCGATGGGAAGAGAGGCTGTAGGTTGTCCCAAGAGGAGTCAGGAGGTGGAAATCTCCCAAAATGGGAGACACAGGTGAGTGACCGATGACAGCTTGTTCAGCTCACAGGGGCGTCTCTGACCTGAGAGTGGCCTGAGCTGTGACTGGATCAATCTTCCTACAGGTTCTCTGTGCCTGTCCATCTTCCTTATGCCCTCAGACATTCATTCCACCACATTCTGCAGGTTCCTCAGACACTCCTCTGTGGAGGGGCAGGGGCTCTGTGTGGGGAAACTGCAATGAACCAGGCAGAGGGGGTCCTTTCTCTCTGCTGTAGATATTCTCCTAATCCCCCCCTTCACTTCCTTGCTTCACCTTCTCTCCTCTCCAGGGCATCCACCAAATCTTTGAGCTCCTTCCCATCTCATGATTGACTCATTTCCCCTCACTCTCATCACCTGTCATTCCCAGAGGTGGGACAGGCCCACACATCCTAGGAAGGACTGATGGTTTTTGGCAACCTCCTTCCCTACGGATTCATATAGATGGTCCCCATGAACCCTAAACATAAATTACCCTCTGGTGAACATCCTTGAACGTTTGTCCGTGTATGTTTCATATGCTTTTGATACCTATGTACACTTGACATTAACACACATGTCAAATACTATCTTGTATTTGAAAATATGCACTTTATGGTTACTGGTCTTTTACTATAGAGGACAAATACTTATGATTTCTATAACTTGTTAAAGGGTATTTGGGGCGCCTGGGTGGCGCAGTCGGTTAAGCGTCCGACTTCAGCCAGGTCACGATCTCGCGGTCCGTGAGTTCGAGCCCCGCGTCGGGCTCTGGGCTGATGGCTCAGAGCCTGGAGCCTGTTTCCGATTCTGTGTCTCCCTCTCTCTCTGCCCCTCGCCCGTTCATGCTCTGTCTCTCTCTGTCCCAAAAATAAATAAACGTTGAAAAAAAAATTAAAAAAAAAAAAAAGGGTATTTAAAAATGCCTCAGTAATGTAGCAATGAATCGATAAAAAGAAGTATAATTACCAGGGAATAATTTATAATCAGAAACTTATAGGTTACTAACTGCACAATCCCTGTGTAAATATAAAAGAAAAGATGAATAATTGGAGTGGAATACGTTTTTTGTCTCCACCTTCAAATAATCCAACAGTCCAAGGTGGGTGTCAAAGCTAGAGGGCTTCTTTTAGATGATGTTGATCTAAGAGAAGAGGAATAAGGGTTCAGAGAGGAGGTGTGGAGAGATGCTGGAGGCTGGAGGAAGGAGTGAGAACTGGTCAGCCAGCAGAGAGGCGCTGGGTGCTGGGAGGTCTGGTGTCCTCTCCCAGGGGCCAAACCCTGAAGACTCAGAGTTCTGGAAGCAGAGCTCTCCTCTCAGTCCTGACGGAACCACTGGGGCAGGAACACAGGAGACAGGAACACAGAGCCGGCTCCTCCCTGACCCTTCGTGTTACTCCCCCATTGTACCCGTCAGAGATTAGCTGGTGCTTATGAAATATATGTTTCACAAATAACTATACAAGTTCTGAAATATATAAATGAGTTATTATTTCCCAAACGAAAAAAAAAATCTTTGTGCTTTTCTGTTTCCCTATAAGAAACGGAGGCAGCACAGGATTCACTTAGTTCTTAAAGCAGTCCTATGTTCAGAGTCTGCCCTGTGAGACCGCTCATTTCATGGTCAGGCACACAGAGCTCCCCTCTCATAGTCCCTCCTGCTTCATTATTGTTCCTACTGCTCCAAAATGGGGAGCAGACTCTATCATCACCCCAAACCTGGGTCTGTCTAAGATCTCCTACAGGAGTTCACATAGTAATTCCCTAAAACACTCTGGTGGTTTTCTCTATGCCTACAAGAAGCCCCAAAAGACATTTAAAACCAATTCCATGTAGGATAGCATCAAAAAGAATAATAATCATTTTAGGAGGCAAAATAAACAAGTAGCAAGAGACTTGCAAACTGAAACCTGTGAAAGATTGCTGAAAATATTAAAAAGATTAAATACATGAGAGAACACTGTGACCGTGGATTGGTGACTTAATATGTGAAGGTGTAACCAACAAGGTCCAAATCCATCTCAATATTCAGTGCCATCCTGCCATGAGCTTGCTGCCCCCAGTTTAATCCCTCAATATCTACTGCTCACTCCTTCTGGTTCCTTTTTTGGGAAGATGTTGGGTATACATCTGTTCTGCAGACCCAGACCTTAGACCCAACCCCCATGAATTACACATAGAGTAATAGGTCATGAGTGTTTGTGGTCCAGGAGAGATAGAAAAACCCCCTCAGAAGGGAGGAGGCCTCCATTTATAGTAACGTTCTGTGTATACCTATCCTCATACTGATGAAAATTACAGAATGGGGGTGCCTGGGTGACTCAGTCGGTTAAGCGTCTGACTGCAACTTAGGTCATGATCTAGCAGTCTGTGAGTTCAAGCCCCACATTGGGCTCTGTGTTGACAGCTCAGAGCCTGAAGCTGCTTTGGATTCTGAGTCTCTCTCTCTCTCTCTGCCTCTCCCCCCCCCCCTCAAAAATAAATAAATATTTAAAAAATTTTTTAATTACAAAACCGATATATGAAGTATATCAGAGTGTCAAATATATAAGCACTTTTAGGCTAAATTTCAAGGGAAAACGTGAATGCTGAAAAATAAGGAGCAAAAGACACATTTCCCTGACAGCATCCTGTCCTCATGGCAAAGACAGGCATCAAAAGTCCTTGCAGTGTGGGCTGAAGGGATCTATCAGGAGAATCTAAACCCCCACCGCAACAACGGTTAAACTAGAGGACAAGTCCAAGAGAACTATTATGAGTTTGAACCATCTTGGTACTCTGAGAACTTTAAGGCTTTCATTAAGTTTAAGATGACACTAGACTGGTTTTGACCCCAGGCACCTGGAAGGGCAAACTCCAATGTCAGGTAATACCTGGTAGCGTTAGCACTGTGCAATCAATACACCATGTATTTAACCACACGGAGGTCATCGGTGACCCAGAAAAATTGCAACCATTCCTAAAATACACAGAGGGCATCTCTTCATTCTACTGCATTTGGGAATGAAGTCATTCTAGATCCAATTGCAAAAGTCTGGACATCATTCCAAGAGTGCTATGAAGTTTCAGAACGACTGGACGATTTGGTGTCTAAGCCCAGCAGGTGGCACTGTGGGACCAGTCCTGTGAGGACAAGCTTCTAGAGCTGACGGACTAGGGAACTACTCTAATAATTCTCGCACACTCATCAGGCAGTGTCCCCACGGCAGTGTGACTCTGCAGCCCTGTGCCCCTGGAGCCACATGAGCCCTCAGCTCTGACTCACTCCCTCGCTCCATGTTTCATCCTCCAACCCCATGGAGTCAATGCCCAGGTGGTGTTCAGGTAGGGACAGACAATCCCACACCTGGAGAAGTTCGCACAATGAACAAATCACCTGCCGTGCTACCTGTGCCTAGGGTAAAAGACCCTTGGGGAGGGGAGGATGGGACTTCTCTGTCCTGTCCTGAGTCCTCTCCTCACCTCCTGCCTCACAGACTAGGAGATCCCTTTAGGGCTGAAGAGAAAAGATGCTGGGGTGGTGGAGGGTGGGGGTGGTGGGGCATTTGCACTCCTTTGTTCCCGTCATCTCTGCATGGTAGTCATCACCCGCATTCTTTCTGTCACCTTATAGCTTCTAGCTTTCCTTCAAGGGTCTCTGTCAGACTGTGCTACTTTGTCATCCAGGGCATCTGGGTCCTTGATAGGGGCAAAAAGAAATATATATATATATATATATATATATATATATATATATATATGATATTTATTATAAATAAATATTACATATTACAAAAGTATGTATAATATATAAGCAATATATAAATACATATTTTAAATATGTGTAATATGTTATATTGAATTATTACATCTGTAACTGTATTATATAACTATTAAATATAGGTATCTTGTATGATATAAAACACTATAGATTACATATACACATTATATGTATGTTCCATGTTGCAATTCATATATCATATATTATAATTTATATATTTAAGTAATAGAACTTAGAGAGAGAGGGAGAGGAAAATGAAGTTGCTGTCTCGGAACTAAGCTGAGTTCTTTCCACCCAGAGTGAAATTTAGAGACTCTGCCAGGTGTGTGGTCTCACAGAGGAAACTGGATTTGCAGCAAAATAATGAGATCACGAGGAATAACTTGCAAAGCCTTGAGTCTCAGAGCAGGAGTGAGCGGGTTCCTTTTATTCAGTCATCCGGATCGATATTCAGAAAGGGGACTTTGTCAGCCTGCGAAAGGTGGCTATCGGGTCGCACGGGCACACTTCGAAAACAGGACCGTGCCTGCATCCTAGGTTATGTCCGTGCAGCTTGCGCTCCTCCTCGTGTGGAGACTGACGTTATAAGGAAGCAGAAGTAACCGTCCCGCGAGGGGAAGGGGCCAGGGGCCCGCTCCCAGAGCCAGTATAAACTGGAGGAGGTTTGGGCTCCTGACCTGGGGAAAGGAATGCAGGGCCTTGCTTCCTCTGACACAGCGCTGGGAGTTTGCCCTCTGCTGTGTTCTCTGATGTGGTGAAGCACTTTCCTGGCCTGGTGGAGATTGTTAACCTTTGTATTCCCTTTGCTCCCTTAAAAACCCTTAATTACTGATGTGTTGTAGCATTTATTTGTAATTCTGACTCATGTTAAAAGCCACTAGGGGTTAGCTGGATCTTTCTGTCCCTTCCAACTTCGTGAGGAACTCCAGGGCTCTGGGTTCTTCTCCCACATCCAGTTTTTAAATCCTTCTTTGCTCTACTGACTCCAGGCCTTCCCAGCAGGAAAGGATTCTTCTCACCCGTGGTGCCTTGAACCTATTTGACAGTTTCTTGGGTTGACTCAGGGCTCCCTTCACGGTCAGGGATCCTGGCTGATTACTGTGACTCCGCCATTTATTAGGATGAATATATAATCAATTCATTAGTTTTCAAACTGCTATGATTTCAGTTGCTATTTCTAAGCAATATGATATTGGTCATTTATTTCTATATTACATGGTGACTAATGGAAGCTGATTTTGTATTTTTCACATGTGTCAATTACTCTTTTTGATTCTTCCTTTTGTCTTAAGTTATAGATACTCCTTATCTTCAAATTTGATGCATATACAATTGCATACTTTCCCCCAGTATATCAAAGAATGTTTTGATAAAGAAGCACTAACTGATTGAGTAGGAACCTTTGTGTGATATAAGTTGGACTGCCAAACTCAGACAATGAGAAAGGCAAACAGTAACCATGCAAATTATATGAAACAACGTACCAGCGATTCTGAAATGAATAAAAGTCAGATTTTCTTTCACACTGTGATGAGCGCTGATCTGACATGTGTGGACAATACTTAAATGTGTATTTAAGGAATGAATGAGTGAACGAAGGAATGAATGAATGATGCAGACTAAGCTGCCAGTCAAGCAGTTACTGTAACACCCCCATCCTTCCTATGGGGGAGGAAAGGCATCCCTCATGCCTGGTTGTGATGTTTCCACAACTCTCCACATGTCACACCATGGTTGCCATGGGACACGGGGACAACAGACCCCATCACCCTGCCTCCCACCTGGTTCCCGTCTCACCTCACCTGTGTCAGTCAGGGCATCCCCGTATCTGTGGGCATCACCCTCCCTCCTGACCTGACACTCTGGAACATCCCTCCATCTCCCACAGCCCGGGGTCCAGTCAGTCACCTCACTGTGTCCCACCTGGGGACATCTTTCTCATCTTTCTCTTCTCATCTTTCTCCAGTTGGCCCCCAGTGACTCCTTCCAGGTCTTCTTACTCCAAGTTCAGTCCTAGGACTTGCTGTGGAGGTAGGTCTCTAACGAGCAGCATTGCAGAGGCACAGCTGGAATTAAAAGTACCAGAAATATGGAGACGAGGTCACAGGATGGCCCAGCAGTGTTCCCTACTAGACCCAGAGGTTTATTTCAGTCTCCACACATGCAGCAGCCTCATCAGAGTTTGCTGTGCCCTGTCTGCCTGGCTCTGGAAGGGCCCAGCATTCTGACACTGTGTGTCCTCCTCGGTGAAGGTGTGTGTCCCCTCAGCGCGCCCAGTTCACATTCAGCTCCCAGAGTCAGCCTGCCTCCTCTGAGCCCTGCCATGTGGACAGATCCCCCCTGCTCTCTGTTCCCTGTGTCTTATCCTTAGCTTCACAGAAGTTCACAGGCTCCACTGGGTCAGGACTGCACGTGTTCCTCCTGGTAGACATTCCTCCCATCCACGGAGGAAACGTGATCAGGGACAGCACAGGAGGACCTCTGTCCTTCTCTGGAGCGCTGCACACACATGGTGGAAACTCAGGCATCAGGGAAGCAGGTGAAGGGGAAGATTGGGCAAGAAGGAGAGCTTCTCCCAGAGACCAGCAGGAGGTGATGTGACATCGTGTCTGGGGGTTTCTGCAGGAAAGGGGCTTCGAGCTGGCAGCCCTCCGATGACAGGAAGCCCTGGGGCTGGGCCCCTCCTTCCAGTGGGGACAGGGCAAGTGTGTCCTGTCTAGGCCTGGACCAGTCCCTGAACCTGGGCCTGAGTGTGATGCCAGCAGCTGCTTCCTCCAGGCCCACCCAGGGGGAAACTAGTGCATCAGGAAGTCTCCTTGTCCAAGGGCCACAGACCTGTGAGTGCACAGGAGGGAGAGGCAGAGGGGGGTCATATTTGCATGAGCAGCCCCTCCTTGGTGAGGCCTGCGGGGAGAGGACAGGAGAGACTATGGGCAGCCCAGCCCTAGCACTGTGGCTAAAGTAGGGGCTGTGTCACCATGGTCTGGACCCCTGTCTTTCTCCTGTTCATCTGTCGCTGCACAGATAAAGATAGGCCTCAGTCCACAGGGTGGGTCCACAGCCTGAGTCAAATCCCTCTGGCTCAGCTCCCCAATGACATGCACCCTGTCCCTTCTCTTCATTCTGCTGTGTCTGTGTTTGCAGGTTCCCTGTCCCAGACTGTGCTGACCCAGCCGACCTCCCTGTCTGCATCTCTGGGAACAACAGCCAGACTCACTTGCACCCTGAGCAGTGGCTTCAGTGTTGGTGGTCAAAACATGTACTGGTACCAGCAGAAGGCAGGGAGCCATCTCTGGTGTTTCCTGTAATACTTAGACTTAGAAAAGCAGCTGGGACCTGGGGTCCCCAGTCGTGTCTCTGGATCCAAAGATGCCTCCACTAACACAGCAATTTTGCTCATCTCTGGGCTGCAGCCTGAAGACGAGGCTGAGAATTTCTGTGGTACAGATCACATCGGTGTGAGTGGCTACCGTTACTTACGGTGTCACAGATAACGAGGAAGTGAGACAAAACCCCTGGCTCCTTGTCCCTGGTCCTCTTCGTTGGGAAGCTTCTGTGGAACTCACTGTCAAGTGTAGGACAGTGGTGTTTATCACAGTGACAGAGACACATGAGGAGGTGGATGAAACCCTGAGGCCTTAGGTTCCAAGATGTGAAACAATTATTGAGATGATTAGTACCTTTACTAGCAAAATAGCAATAGAACATATTCCCTGGGGTTTCTGGCATGAAATCTGTAACTCTTGCCTTTTCTTACACACAGTACCCATGGAGCCTCTAAAAAGTTAAACAAAATGTATATTAATGCTAATAAATGTTAACATCACTACTATATTTTCAGCTTGCAAAACATGGGTAGAGCAGAACATGAAACCCATCCAGATGACGGCACACACGATCATACTATGTTTTATGAAACTTTACATTGACACGTATATTTTCAAGACAGAGGGTGACCTGCACTTATCCCAACCCCTGGGATGTGCTTTTGCCTCCAAATAAGAAAGCCAACTAAATAGATAGACCTTATGATGAGCCTCTCCTCCATGGTAAAGATTTCACCAAAAAGCAGTGTTTGTTTACCAAACCTGGAGTTTAGCAATTGCATTCTCTGAATGTACAGCATTTATTTTTGTATTTCTTTTCTTTTCTTTTCTTTTCTTTTTTTTTTTTTTTTTTTGCTATTTATTTCTTTATTGGAGAATTTTTTTTTAAATTTTTTAAAATTTATTGTCAAGTTAGCTAGCATGCAGTGTATACAGTGTGCTTTTGGTTTTGGGGGTAGTTTCCCGTGATTGATCGCTTACATACAACCCCCAGTGGTCCCTAACACAGTAGCTCAGTGAGGCCCATTCCCCCAAAGAAGATACAGAGCTGGGACTGGGCCCAGTGCTCCCTGATGGGGACTCAGCAGTTGAGTTCCCTCCGGTCTGACTGAGTCCCCTGAGCAGAGACTGTATATTGTTTGCTTTGGTTTGGCTTTCCAAAGAATACATTTCTTTATTAAAGGTACCCAATTACATCATTTGGTTAAATTATCCTCATACACTTATAGAATGTCTTTTTTTTACAGTTTCAGTAATGTCTATCTTATGTATTTATTTTTAACATAATTTATTGTCAGAGACTGTATATTGTCACTGAATACGCTTTGTCTCCCCAGGGTTGAAGGCAACCTCCATCCTCTTTAGTGTGTGAAGTGAGCTGAGCTCCAGCACCAGGGTTCATGGACAGGCTTAGCAGTCCCTGGATGGGCCCCATTTACATGGATAGCCCTTTCTGTGGCAGAGAGTGGAGGAGAAAAGGAGGCCTGGGGAGCCCCAGCCCAGTGTGGAGACCAGGGTCTGTGTCATCATGGCCTGGACTCCAATCCTTCTAGTGCTCTCCTCTAAGTGCACAGGTAGGAACAGGCTTTGGGGATGCAGGGTAGCCCTCCAGCCTGCATCAGTCTCTCAGTCTCAGACAGTGGGAAACTTTACCCTTGTCCCAGGCAGTGCTGACCCACCCACTCTCTCTCTCTCGGCATCTGTGAGAACAATAACCAGGCTCACCTGCACCTTGGGCACTGGCTTCAGAGTTGGTAGCTATGGCATAAGCTGGTTTCATTAGAAACCAAGGAGCCCTGGTAAGTCTTGTGTTATTACTCAGAATCAAGGAGTTCAGATCTGCATTTCCCAGCTGCTTATCTGGATCCAAAGATGCTTCAGCCAATGCAGGGATTCTGCTCACCTGTGGGCTGCAGCCTGAGGACGAGGCTGACTCTTACTGTGCTCTATGTCATGGCAGTGGGAGCAGCCACCGTTACTCACAGTGTCTCAGATAACGAGGAAGTGAGACAAGAACTCTTGGTCCCCCAGACCTTGTTTCTGAATCTCTTTTCAGTGAGAAGCTCATGTAGAGACACATGTAAGAGGGATCATCTGCAGAAACATCTGTCCTTGAAACGGCAAAAGAGGGACACTCGTGTTTGAATGTAAAGTGAGAGGAAATTGGGCATCCCAGGAAGACACTGACAGATGAGGTAACAGAGCCCAACCGCACGTCCCCACGAGGTCTGGAGAAGATGCACAGGAGTAAATACTGTGCCTGCACCTGAACGTGCTCCCCAGCCAACATTCATCCACACATTAGTTCCACCACCTTATTCCATAGACTGTGACCTTGTGTCAGTACGGATGCATCCACGGCTGATAGAGTGACAATAACCCTGGTCATAGACACAGTCTCCTCTCTCTGAACAAGCTAGACATGAACTTGGACCAGATTCTGCAGACTCTCCACGACAACAGCCCCCACACCCTCCCACCTCTTCCCCCCTCTGCTCCTTTGTCCCTCAGGCTTCAGTCCCTCTGGCTCTTCAGGTCTGACTTCTGTCTCCAAGTTAGGATTTCAGAGAAAGCTGGGAATGATCTTGCTGCAGTTTCCCATTCCTGGGACCCATCTCTAGGGAGGAGAATGACCAGATAATAGAGCTGCATGAAACCCCTCATATTCTCCTTCCTGCTGTCACTCAACAAGACTTCTGATCCAGGGAAGTGTTAACAGGTCTGCTCTCCAATGAATCCTCACTGACTAAATAATTCCTCCCCCAGGTAACTGGTATTTGAGATATCTGCCTTTAAATGCAAGGTCTATAACTCTGGAGAAGGTCAAATATCTCTCAGGATGTGGAGAAGGAATAAGAGGGATGTAAGGCCACCCGGTTTCATTTTAGGTCACACACCCAGACACACACACACACACACACACACACACACACACACAAAACCACACACACAACCTTCTCCTTTCTCTGAGGGTATGGTGTCCTGGATTCTGTAGTTTCCAGGTGTCTCTGTCCCTCCAGAAGTCAGGGTCAAACTCTGCTTACCCAGCCATTCTTAGTGTCAGATTCTCCATCACTAGAAAACAACAGGGACATTGAGGGTGACTGGGGCCCTGTCACCAGGGCAGCCAGGACATGTTCTGGACACCTGATGTCCTGGGACGAGGCTGTTGCTCAGGAATCCCAGGGCAAGTGTCTGTCCCCATCAACAGCTCAGTCCCCAACCATCTCTGGGCTCCAGTCAGTGCTTGAGGCTGATCAGTACATTGATTCTGGGAGCAGCAGCCTGAGTTCTGCTCCCATAGAGCTCAAGGCTCATCGGGATGTGAGTCACAGCCTCACCTGGTTCTCAGAGCTGGGCTGTTGCTCCCTCCGTCACCCCAGTGATACCTACAAACAGGCTGACCTCTGCTGAAATGTCCTCTTCCCAAACCCAGGGCCTCAGGGCCTGTGATGTCAGGGACAGAGGCCCCCTTGTCTCCGCCTCTCCACTATTCAGGTGTGGGACCTTTGACAGAAACTTCTGGGTCCAGGTGAACTTGGATAATAGGGACTCATTCCTCTAGTCATGGGCAGTTGCATGAATAAATGCTCTGCCCTGAACATGCTAGACACAAGGTAGAGGGGCTACAGCTGTGCCCACCCAAGAGACAAATCTGACCCCAACGGCTCGTCCCTTGAAGCTCTGTGTTTGATAATCTCATCACTGAAATGGCTCTGAAGCTCATAGGAACAGGCCCCTCTTGGGGTTTTACTGGGCACCACGTCAGTCTTTCCTACCTGCAGGGCCAAATCAATGATTAAAAAAAAACAAACTCAAGAGAAAAACATCAAATGAGTTCACAAAATGTTTATGGAACTCTATTAAACGAGAACAGGGGTCATTCCTTCTCCTTTGTTTTTCCACCGAATTTTTAAACCATAATTTCCATCCATATTCTCCCTGCGAAAAGCACAGATCTGTGAACAATGTACTAGTGATTCACGAGGGCGTTATCTTTGAGTTTTAATCAATCCTATTGAGACGAATTTCATGTAAAAGAACACTCATCCGTTTTTAGGTGCCAAGTTGGCTAAGTGGTGACAAATACATAAACTGTGTCACTGGATCCCTGTCAGAGCATCTGCAGCTGTCACGTTCCCACCTGGCTCTTCCCACATATTTTCCCCTTGTGCCCCAAGGCCAATGCCACACACAACCTCTCCTGGCAGGGATCCTGCAGACTTGTGTCTGTGTGCTGGAAAAGGAATCCTAGGAGGAACCATTGCCCATAGTGTGTGGAGAACTGTTATGTCAAACAGGTGGAAGTAGTGACAGATGACAAAGATGTTCAGTGTGTAACCCCTCTAGGGTTACACACGAGGGCTTCTGCTCACACAATGCAGAGAATTGCTACCAGTCTCCTCGGTGTTGTGGGAACCTCAGGGTAATGAGACGTCTGTAAAGGGGGGAACAATCACACCACAGGAAACACCTAACACAATGCGCAATGGGGACATGTATCCGTGGGGACTAGTCACTGATCTGGACATGATCCTGATCTAAGAGGAGTTTGTATAAAGCCCCATGAACAGCCAGGGAGCCCTAGACACATTCAGCCTGAGGAGTCTGAGTAGAGGATAGTCTCCCCTGAGATGATGGGAGGCCATATTAAGGGGACACTTGGTCTGGCCCTAATGCAGGGGACAGGAATCAGAGCAATGGGGAGGCATGAGCTATTTCTGTGTCCTCTCCTCACCATGCACACTATGATGGGTCTGGGTCTTGACACCAGGGGGCGCACCGGTCCTGTTTCTGAGGGGTAAAGGATGATCAGAGCTGTGACTGCAGAACTGGCACTGACTGTGCCCTCTGCTCAGGGCTCAAAACTGGGACCTCCCCACACCCTGATTCTACACAGCCCCTCCCATCCCCACCCCTCCTGACATCATCGGTCAGAGGCCTTTGACCCAGGGCCAGTGAGGGGTCAGAGAGCTGGGAGTCTCATTTGCATGGAAGGGCCCTCCCTCTCTCAGAGGATGAAGAGGGGAAGGGAGAGATTAGGGGAGGCTCTGCTCAGCTGTGGGGCCACAGAAGGCAGGATCGGTGATGACCTCCACCATGGCCTGGTCCTTTCTCCTCCTCACCCTCCTCGCTCACTGCACAGGTGACTGAATGTGGGGACAGGGGAAAGGGACACACTTTCCTGGGAGGACAAAATGGGCCCTGCTTCTTCCTCTTGTCTCTAGACCATATCATCACCCTCTCTGTGTCTCTCCCATTTCCAGGGTCCTGGGCTCAGTCTGTGCTGACTCAGCCGCCCTCAGTGTCTGGGGCCCTGGGCCAGAGGGTCACCATCTCCTGCACTGGAAGCAGCTCCAACATCGGGCGTGGTAATTATGTGAGCTGGTACCAACAACTCTCAGGAACAGCTCCCAAACTCCTCATCTATGGAAATAGCAATCGACCCTCGGGAGTCCCAGATCGATTTTCTGGCTCCAAGTCTGGCAACACAGGCTCCTTGACCATCACTGGGCTGCAGGCTGAGGACGAGGCTGATTATTACTGCTCAACGTGGGACAGCAGTCTCAGTGCTCACACAGTGCTCCAGACCTGTGGGGAAGTGACACAAAAACCTAGTTACTCATTTGTGAAGAGCGTGAATAACCCAGCAGCTGCGTGCTCAGCTTAGTCTGTAAATTCTGCTTATTTTTTGGCTGATGCCCTGCGCCCTGGTCCACCCAGTTGCACCCCATAGGAGTGAGGCTCCTCCTCTCCCTTCTGTCCTCAAGGTCACTCAGATTAGTTCATTCATAGACAGATGGTCGCTATGGTAGCAGAAAGTCCTTGTCCTCATGAACTATGAAAATTTACTTCCATGCTAGTTTATATTCATTTGTTGTCTTCTGATCTTTCAATGAGTGAAACATCTTCTCCGTTCTGAGCCTCTCGATGGGGCCTCAGCACTGTCCCTGCTCTACTAGATGGGCATGTCAACTCTCTCGGCATCTGGTATCATTTTGCTTAGCTTTAACCAGATGACCAGTTTCGCTTATATGCTGATATTTGTGGGGAATACAGGAAACATGCCGAACTGCAAATTGAAAAGGTGAAATAAAAACAATCTGCCCAGAGCAAATCCTGAATGTGAATGTCTGTAGAAGCTTTCTTCATAACCATCACATGTAAAAGCAATGAAAACTCTGCACACGGGTGTTTATACCAGCTTTTTACATAATCTCCAAGACTTGACGTGACACAGATGTCCTCCAGTAGGCTGTACATTGTACACTGGGAACTTAGCCAGCTTTAAAACAAATGACCTCTGACGTCACAGTAACATACACCAATTGTAAATACATATTTCTCCAGAAAGGAGAACATTTAAAGTGCTGCATAACACAATTGTAATTGGATTACATTTTAGAAAAAGCACGACTCTGGAGTGTTTGAAGGTCAGTGATCACAGGAGGCGGAGGAAGGAGCAGGAGGGTGAATGTGTGAAGCACGGCATTGCATTTATAGTGGTGACACTCTCGTACGGGACACCGTGATGGCAGCCACACCGTACTGCTGTGTTGTCACAGATCACTATACTCTGCAGCACAATCACAGCACCTTAGGGCATGCATGTAAAGTCATCTAGGAAGTCTGGGGTCTCTAATAGGGTGCACAGTGTGACATCATCCAATCTACTGCTACAAGGGCATGAACCTGCTTCGCCGAAGGGGCGGGGCGAAAGGGTGCTGACCTGAGGGACTTTGAAAAGGAGGGGAGCCTGTATGTTCAGAGACAAAAGAAACCACATGTAAGGCCCATACTCCAGTTGAGGGAGTTGTATCCCATGGGCTGAGTGGTCAATAATCGTGATGTGTCTGGGCTGTGCACTGGAACTGAACAATGAAGTCAATGGTTGCAGATGTTGGGAGGCAGTGTTCTCTCTTCAGGAATGGATGCTAATGTTTTATGGGGGTCTTAGTTTGTCCGTAACCAAAGTGGTGGCCAGACCCACCCTTGTGGTTCGTATTATGCCTACGAGGTATTCTTCAGCTACAACCATCAGGAATCTTTGAAAAATACGGGTTTATTACTTACAAGACCTGGAAACTACACAGCACACTTGGGGCTACAGACTGAGGTCCTGGGCAGAGAAAGAGAAGAGGAAGTGGGGGTGGGGAGCGGTGACCAGAATGAAGTGCCCCTTCCCCTGGGAGCTGAGGGGGTTGAGAAAGATCCTGTAGGTCTGCCTCCCTGTGGTTGGAGGTCCTGGAGATGTGCAGGTGGGGTGAGAGGTTCTGGTTCTTCAGCCCCTCTTCATGATGCCCACTGTCCCAGGCATTTCAGTCTGATCTTGGATGCTCCACGCTCACGGACTCTCATGACCTGTCCCGAACTCACCCTTGAGTCTACAGGTCTGCAAACATCACCACCGATCATATTTTCACCGTCACCGGCCCTCCCTGGGCACCAGCCTGGGAAAGACAAACCTGCACCCGGCTCACCAGAAGGGAGGACATCATTAATACACACATGCCACACGAATGATGAAGGGACTGGGTACCAGAGCCAGCCTGGACTTAGGGACTCATGGGGGATCCTCTCACCCATTCTGTACAGGGGTATGGTACCTTGGGTTCTGTCCCAGGCTCCTGTCCCTCTTACACATCCACACCTGGATGGAGACTGCTCACCACGCCTGGACACCGGCCTCAGGCATAGTCACTGCTTGCTGCCACCAAGGTCAGGGTCCACCATTTATGAGCTTGAAATTCACTATTTCTACTTGTTTCCCAGATCTTCAACTAGTTTCTTAATAGAGAACCATCTCCTTATGTAATGCTTGCCTGCAGGCAAAGGAAGCACCATCTGACGGGTCCGTCAGAGCAGGAACCCCCAGTTCACACTATCCTCTTCCTGCTTCTCTCCCCGAGTTCCTTCTGCCTCACAATCCTGAGCGTCTCCTGTGAGCACAGCCTCCTGTGTCTCCACCTCCTGTTCTCCTGTCTCAGTTGCTCTCCCTGGACCACATAGTTTCTTAGGTCTTGCCCTGCCGTGTCCACCCTCTAACCCCTGGTCCACAACGTCACCAGATGGTTTCTCCACTCTGTGAAGTCACATCCCATCATGGTTAGAGCATCTTCATGCCCTGTTTTGATTTTCCCTTCTGTGAGCTCATGTAGAGAACACAGTCATCCCTTTCTTTCTCCTGAGATGTAGGAAATGACAACACAGATACATGTAATGTGAGAGTAGTTGGAACCCATTGCTTTAATGTACAAGAACTCTGGAACACTGAACATGAAGGTAACGTGCTAAATCTCTCAAAGTTCATACATCAGTGAAAGCCATACTGATGATGGAGTGTTTGGATTTGTTTTATGTTCAGGAAGGGAGGAGGATGAGGGACAAAGAAAGGTGGAAGAGTCAGCAAAGTGAGACCTTGTGGTTGGACACGGATGCAGGCTATTCTTTACACTTTTGTTTATTGTTTTTCAACTTGAACAGGGCCATGATCTATATCTATCTATATCTATATCTATAATCTACTTATCTATCTATCTATCTATCATCTATCTACCTTTCCATCTCTAGCTTTTTTTCTTATGAGGGATGATGTATGCATATCCTGCTATAAAGTTCTACTCAGAGTTGCCAAAATATGTGTTTCATCCATGATGTCAGGTTATCTCGCATCTCCTCCCAACAAGCTGAGGAAGAGGCAGGTTGGAGACCTTGGAGGAGATGGGAATTCAGGATTTTAAGTAATAGGAAAGAAGGGAAGTTGGAGGTAGAGATCAAGGGGTGTGGCTGTTCAGGGAGTGGAGAAGTGGGGGAGCCAGACCAAAATGAGCACCTTGGGTAGGACAGACTTTGGGTTTTATGCCAACAGCACTGAGGGACCTGTCTGAGTTTGACGAGGAAGAGCCCTCTGACTGCCTTGAGACAAACTGTCTTAAGGATGTGGGTGTTTCTGGTCACAGAAATTTACTAAAGAGGGCTTTGAGTCGAGAAGTGTGGGAATCATTTGCACAGTGCAAGTTGAGGTGGATCCATGGTGCAATGAGAAAGTGAGGGTTTATGGAAGCAAATGCTCAGACATTGAACACATCTGAAAAACATTAAAGTCTCACATTTAACCTCTATTAAACTAAGACAATGTGTAATAAAATACAGGTAGGGAATTTTCTTTTAATATAAGGAAATGTTATGACACCAAAACAAACTCCTGACAAGAGATACAGGACACAGATATGCAGAACCTACAAATTGGGGGAATATAAAGTCAACTCCTAAGATTAAAAAGTATGGGACACTCTCCACTGGTAAATGTGAAGCTAACCAAAGCTATTGTATGTATGTATGTATGTATGTATGTATGTATGTATGTATTTATCTACTGATCAATACATCAAATGTAATTATTAGCAACACATTCAATTCAATTTTTTGAGATGTTGGCTGAATTATCCTCTTTGGAATATGACACTAGGTGAGTGTATTCCTACAAAATTCTCTTTCTATTCCTTTCCTGGGAACAACCTCTACAATTTCTTCCAAGCAGCTCAATTGTCCCCTCTTCTGTGACACCTGACCTGATGCACACCTGGGTCATTCAGCTTTGTCTAGAACATCCTGTAATTAATTATATATGCACATATTTGCACATCCCATGGACCAGGGCTTCTCCTGGAGGGAGAAGTTACAATAATTAAACACAAGGATCAGAATCATGGTACAGGTAAAGTACTGTTTAAGCCACTTACCTTCTAGGACACATTTACATTAGTACCTGTCTTTGTTGCTAAAAGAAATCTGAGGAAGATTTTCAGTTTTACAAAGGAAGAAGAACCAAAATAGCATCCAGCCTTTGTTTTGCAGGAGGCCTCTACAGAGACAGGGCACAATCAAGCAGCATCAGGGGTGCCATCTAGCTCCTCTCCTGAGAACTGCACACACAGCATCTCAGCACCAGGGCACCAGAGCTTTGAACTGTGTATGTTATGTGCTCTTACTCTCCATACATTTTGTGCATCTGAGAACAAGATGTGTCCATAGGTATTAGAGAAGCCTAGGAAAGGTTGCTTTTTGAGTCTGGAAACATGCAACCAATTGTCCATATAAATTAATGTTAATGGCTTCTTTGCCTTCTGCCGTTTGTGGCTAAGGTTCTTAGGGGTGATGTACTTTCAGATAGCAGGGGGAACGTGTGCTAAGGATTGGACTATGGATGTGTGCAAAGACAGGGACCTGGTGAGCTGCAGAAACCAGCTGGGCTCTCGGGGCTTTGAGACACAGTGAGTGCTGTACCCTGTGACCAGGAGGGGTGCTGTGGGACTGTCTTGTGCTTCCTACAAAGCTGCTTAGCGAGGACCATTCAGTCAAGGGCACCTGACCCGGGGACTGAGCCCTGTGCTCCTGGTGGGGACTCAGCAGTTGCGTCCTCTCTGGCCTGGCAGAGTCCCCTGAGGAGGGACCTGTGTGTTGTTTCAGCAGGTGCTTCCTCCCAGGGATCTCCCCAGGGGTGAAGCCAACCTCCATCCTCCTCAGTGTGTGGTGTCTGGCCGGGTTTCCGCATCAGGGCCGAGGGAGGGGCTGGGCAGTCACCAGATGTGCCTCATTTGCATGGACGGCCCTCCTCTGGCAGAGAGTGGAGGAGAAAAGGAGGCCTCGGGCAGCCCTGCCAGCTGTGGGGACCAGGATCTGTATCACCATGGCCTGGACTCCTGTCCTCCTCATGCTCCTCTCCCATTGTGCAGGTGGGGAAAGGCCTCACGGAAACTGGGCAGCCCTCAAAATCACTCCTCCTGAAGTCGGAATCTTGAGAAATTTCTCCCTGTTTCTTTGCAGGTTCCCTGTCCCAGCCTGTGCTGACCCAGCCGCCCTCCCTGTCTGCATCTCCGGGAACAACAGCCAGACTCACCTGCACCCTGAGCAGCGGCTTCAATGTTGGGGGCTACTACATAAATTGGTTCCAGCAGAAGCCAGGGAGCCCTCCCCGGTATCTCCTGTACTACTACTCAGATTCAAATAAGCACCAGGGCCCTGGGGTCCCCAGCCGCTTCTCCGGGTCCAAAGATGCCTCGGCCAATGCGGGGCTTCTGCTCATCGCTGGGCCGCAGCCTGAGGACGAAGCTGACTATTACTG